TCAAAAAAAAAGTTGAATTTGACAAACACTGAACGTCAGTGGGTCGCAGTTGGCCGCATCATTTTGAGTTAAATTCAAAGCACAAACAAGTGTCGGAGTTGATCTTCATTGAAACTTTTCGAAAAAAAAAAATTCCCATATGGTGCGCACTTTAATGGTGACACTGTAGGTGTATTTCTACAATACTGGAAGATTTCTTCGTATTGCTTTGCGCGAGCGACGCATAACTTCAAAATATTACTCCTCGTTGACCGTACGATCATGAAGCAGAAACTCCTGATGCACTACGCTACGGTAATCGAAGAAAAGAGTGAGCGAACCTTCGAATGGATATTTGATCGAACTTGCCGTGCTATCTTTGGTCTTGGATCTTTTGGGCTCTTCCATTGGGAAGATTGGACTTTGGTTTTGATGTCATAATCAAATACTCATGATTCGTCACCAGTTATGAGCCTTTCAAGCAAATCTGGGCACCAACGTCATCCAAAAATTCTCGAGCAAAGCTCATGCGACGGTTTTTTTATCGAAATTCAATAATTCTGGAACAAACTTAGCTGCCACACGCTTCTTGCCCAAAATTGCTGAAAAAATTGCTTGGCATGAGTCAACCGATATATTGACCCCCCAGCAACTTCTAATAGAGATTCTATGTGTCTCCACAACATTATTTTTGTCTCAACATTTTCAGTGGCTGTTGATATGCTGGGTCGTTCACGGCTAGCGTCGTCATCCACATCTTCTCGACCTTCTGTGAAAAACTTGTACCACTTAAATATATTTTTTCCACTCAGAATACAATCTTCGTATCATAATGTCAACATTTGAAGTATTTCCGAGCACTAAATTTCATTTTTTACACAACAAATGTTCTAGACGAGTATAAAAAATGAAAAAATCGCGAAATTTGAACATTTACCTGACTTCACTGATTTTTTTTTCGGGAAAAGGAAAACTTCCAAGTCACTGTATCTTTGATTATAACTGTGGATACAGAAAATGGTTACAGAGTGGAATTATCCACGAATATATGTGAAAGGTTATTTTTTTCCTTATACGAGGAATTGGGCGAATTTTGAAAATGTGGTTGGTTACCTCGTTCACAGGCAGATGGGGCGATGGCAAATCTGTTGTTTGTTGTCAGCTTCAGCCTAGGTCGAGAAATGATACTCTGATGAAATTCGATTTTCACTTATCGGAAATCATCGACTTTATGTTGATGATAGACACTACCTGCACTGACGAGTGGCCAAACAGCCCGAAACCGGTCTGCAAGTGTGTTCGAATAATTGAAAATCTATTGAGGCAGCTGTATCGTCAGCAGCATATGCAGGAATAACTTCAGTGAAGAATCCTGCACAGACACCTTTCGGATAAATCCAACGCCCTTCGTGGTATTAGCCATGGCAGTAGTGGTTTTCTGATAGGTGTCAGTTCATTAACCTACAGTGAAGGTAGTTCAGACTGGCTTGAACGAATTGTTCTTTTAGATGATTTGAGAAAAGTACTATCATAATATTATTACACACAATTTGCATATTTTAGTTTTGATTTTTGAGTTTCTTTTTAGGTTATGTGCACTTTTCCCTGAGAAAATGATAATGGATTCGGATGAGCTATTCAATTTGTATAGAAATAAGAAGAAAATGAAGAAAGTTCCAATTTGAAATCTAGAATGGTGCTGGATACAGCCTGTAAAGTCGTCAGGAGTTCGGATCCCCTTCTCTGCATGGTCCGTGACCATGAGAGAGCAGGAATTGGAGCATTTCTCTTTAGGGCAGCTGCCCAAGCAGCTGATGAACTCGGTATAGTTTTCGACTCTGAACGAGGTGACTACAACTCTGTCACCGAGTTGGAACCTGTTCAGCAAAAAGCTCAGATAAAAGCCACAGAGATCACCCTACTTCTGCAAAAACACAAGGATAAGCCAATGCATGGGGTCTACTCAAATAACATTGGAGACCTTGGCTTATCAAAGCGAAACCCCTATCCAGGCCCTATCCCTATCCCTATCCCCCCTATCCCCCGAAACCCCGAATGTATCGGGGCTTCGGGGGATAGGGCCTGACCAACGCATACTACGGTAAAAAACCAATAATAATAAAGAGGATGCAGGGAAAACGGTGGGAATATACAGCTCATAGATGGAAGCATCCTACACCATCTGGATGCCGGACAGACGTATACTTTCCTTTGGGTGGAACAACGCCACTCACAACAGGAAACAGCAGTAAAGAACTCTCTCCGCGGCAAGTATCAGCACAAACTTTGACAGATCTGGTCATCGGAGCTGTCGGAGCAGCAACATATTTGCTTGCCGTTCCAATCTGACTCTACTCGTTTGGAGTAGTGAAGTGGACTATGATGGAGCTGTATCTCCATAGGAGTTTGCATTCCAAATCGTCCGTTTCACAGTTGAACTTCTCCCGATAACAGGAAGGCCGTGGACTTTTGAGTTTGGAGTCTACATGACAGACTGGATGGAGCATGTGAAGTCGTCAGGATTTCGAATCCCCTTCTCTACATGGTCTGCGACCATGAGAGAGCGGGAATTGGAGCATTACTCTTCAGGGCAGCTGCCCGAGCAGCTGATGAAATCGGTTTAGTTTTCCATACTGAACGAGGTGATCACAACTGTGTCACCGAGTTGAAACCCGTACTTTGAAAGGCCCAGAGATCGCCTCACTTCCGTGGCAATACATGGATGGGCCAATGCATGAGGTCTGTTAAAAAAATCTGTTCAAAATCTGTTTTTCCGTTAACCAGCTGTCGCACCCCTACGAACGACAACCCTCAGAAGTCGAAACTTGTGCGAGCTAAGGATTAACGAGGTCTTACCTTTTAACGTGTGATTCCTAACACGGGTTGGACGATAGCAAGTGAAAATCGATCGTTCAGACTAGGGCTTGAACCACCGACCAACACGGCAGTCAATTCGAGTGAGTGAACAAAGCACCCACGCCGAACCGCTTGACTACCGACCGACCAAACATTGAACACCTTGGCTCAATAAAGTGCCTGATTTTCACTTTCCTCAGGTCGAGTGGGCTGATGTGGGAAACACTGAGGGGTTCATCATGGCTTGCCAGGATGATGTCTTCAATACCTTAGTCTACCGCAGTCGCGCAAAGGGTATAGAGGTTCCTGACACAAGGTGTAGTGCCTGCTGCGAGGCATTTGCTGTCAGTATGTCCACAATATGCGGTGTCGGGGGTATCCATCGACATAAAGAGTGCTTTATCACTGTCTACAAAACTCTCACAGTATTGACGAGACACCGGTGTTGCCCTACACTCTGAAGGATATTGAATCCGTTATGCAGTCCTTCTTCACCACCAGAGCGAGACGATATTTGTTGTGGAATCCCTGAAATAATTTTCCAGGAATTTGAAATCATTTTATATAATATCAGACAGTGCAAATCCGAACTGATGAAATTCGCTAAGGGGCTGTATCTTAACAAGGGATGCTCCAATGAAATTTCTTTATATGAAAGATCCAGTCTTTTTTCGATGAGGAATCACCTCCTCAAATGTTTTACACTTATTCAGTTACACCCTGTATATCTATCTATCATTATAATGGTGATCATGTATACATGATTCATAATCATTTCTATAATCATCTCATTATAAACATAGTTGTTCGGAAGCATCATGATATTCCAATAGACGTCTAATGAAACCCATCATATGATCGATATTCTGCAAATGATTACCGGAACACAACCATCACTAACGCTATTCTGCGTCACATATCAAAGTAACAGCTAATTATAAACTGTCCCCGCGCTCGTCTTTCTGCAACATGAAACCTTCAACCGTCATTAACGCTGCTGCGACTGCCACAAAATGGTTCCAATCCAATTAACGTAATAGAGTGTTAATGGCAACACAGTTCCATCAATGGTCCAGATCCCGATGTTTATGACAGCCCCGTCGGAAAAGTTGGTCAAGCGGGACCCTCAGATCGCTGCAGTTTGCGATAAAAATCCTAGCAAGCAACATTGCCAACTGATTTGTGAAACAATATGCAGCTAGTTGCCATTAGCAACAGAAGAGA